GCGTACCTTTGCCTGATCCTGGACATCAATTCAGTAAATTTATTGATACGCCTATCCAAGTCTCCTTGGCTGGTATGTTGCTCTTATTGTGCTTGCTGATCCCTATATTGAGCATTTGTGTTATTTTTTTTATTACTACTCATTTTTCATGATATAGCACTAATGTGGCACTCCAGAGGTTGATCAAATGAAATCTTGCGGCAACCACAAGGTAATTAGGTTCCTGGTCTGCCCCAAAGAACCCCTGCTGATGCATTGATACTCTAGTCAACACTTTGGTTCTTAGAGCTGTTTGCTCTTTCTGGAAATGTTTCCTGTCTGATCCAACTACTGTAATTGAGACTACAAATCAAAAGATCATATTTCCTCTGCATTCTTGTTGCTGGCTTTATCAACATGGCTGTTAAACCTCAGGGACTGTCAAAATGAGGACTGTCTGATCTTTTCCACTATGCTTCTTTCTGTAAGCCTTCATCCTGTCATTTTTACTTTAATACTGGGTAAACATTCTTCTGATGGCATTAGACTCATACTCCACTCTATAGCACATTTAGGTTTCTGCAGTCAGGTCTTTATAATTGCATGGTGTTCAGCACATCAAGGAGCAGATTTGGGTACTTCTGATTTTGTTTCAGAACTTCATAGTCTCTTAATATGTAAATCTGCACTTTTTTTTTAGGGGTTGTCTATTTTAAACCTCCTGTTAAACCACCTGAGGCACCAGAGGATCGTCATCTGGTTCTTTCTGCCTTTCAGGGTTTGGTACCCCCTTTAAGCATTTTTGTGACATCTCCCCACTTTTACATATAAAAAAGGTGGGCTTTTTAGATGATATTACCTCAAACAGGAAGGTTGGCCACTTCTTGTTTTAGTCTATGCCCTTTTCTATAATTTCTGGGCACTGGGCTGTCTTTCAACTTAGCTATTAATGAGGAAATTGCCTTCCTAATATCCCTCTATCTCATCCACAAATGATAGCTCCCCACAGCTCATTGTTTATTTTAACTGTATTGCACCTTTTCATAAGTTATTATTGTCTTTTCAAGGTCAATTGTCTTTTGATGCTAGATGCTGGACTGTTTATTTTTTTTTTTCTGGCCTGTTTGTCTAGGGGGGAAATTACAGCTGTTTATTTCACTACTCTTTCCTTCTGGACTGTTAGTATTTTCTGTTTTTTTTTTTACTACCGGCCTTCCATTTTTTAGGTGTGTAAGTCTTTCACCATGCAAGTTTACACATTTACTGGGGTTCATTTGCATCCATGCATTAGTTTTCACCATTGGAAATTATGGATGAAAGGATTTGAGTTGAGTGACTCTAGTGAGCTGAGTCTAAGATTATCTATAAAAAAGGTGATTTTTCTGTACTCAGCATTAAATCCTTTTCTAGATTGATGCACTGGAGGAATAGGTCTATTTGCATTTTATCCCATTACTACACAATTTTCATGCTGTTGGCTAATTGTGAAGTTCCACCTTTTGCATACAGGGGTACAGCCCATAGTAGGAAAAGCATACCTTTCTGCCTCCTGCTTGGTGTATATTCTCCTAGGAGGGACACTAATATACTTTTAGACTATTGTGTTCCAATAAACTCACCAAGAAAAGGTTTTTATGGTAAGTACAAATAGAAACCCCAATTTTTTGTGTTTTAAGTCAAAATAAAAAGTTTACCATTAAAGTTCTCTCTGCTGAAGTCAGCCAAGTACAAAATAAAGCTTAATTGGTAACTAGGGGTAACTGTGCTATTACAATTTTTGATCAAGCTTGTTTTATTTATTTATTTTTGTTATGTTAATAAACTGATTTACCATCTATTTTAATGTATCAATTATTATTTTTAAAAGGGACCTAAAAATATACAACCTAAATATACAACAGTTGGGTTAATTTATTTACTTAATAAAGATATTTTATACATTTTTCTCTTTTTAGACCTGGCCTTAATAAATAACAAAAATATACAGGAGACTACTATAGAGTATTTTTAGCAATTATCAGCAAAGGATATGATCTGTTAATCGAATAAGGTCAATTGTGGGTAAAAATATCAATCTATTTACAATATTGTGGAAGGTATTTTTCCCCCACCCCTGTTACTAGGCATTTTGCCATTTTTTATAGTTCTACATGAACATTAGATTGGATAAATGGGAAGGCGCTTGTAATTGCAATTTAGAATGTCTATGAATCTATGGATCTTGTAGTTAAACCCTTGGTTTTATCTTTTTTTTTATGTGCTGTACATATAAAGACATACCCACAATAGTTACATTACAATAATACAGTAATGTACTGATAGGACGATAACAAGAAGATGTACACTTTATACTTGCCGCCATTAGCCACTTGCCCTCCTGAGAATTTACCACCCTTCCTGACCAGGCCTTTTTTTGCTACTCGACGCTGCACTATTTCAACTAGTAATTGCATGGTCATGCAATGCTGTACCCAAACTAAATTTATGTCCTTTTTTTCACATAAATAGAGCTTTTGAAAAAAAAAAAAGATATTTCTTACATGTGACTATAAAAAATATATAGTAATCTCAAAGTTAGTCATAAATATAGGCCAAAATGTATTCTGCTACATGTTTTTGGTAAAAAAAAAAAAATCACAATAGGTGTATATTGATTGCTTTGCGTGAAAGTTATAGCGTCTACAAACTATGGTATAGATTTACACAGCTTTTACTTTCTGACTACCTATCACATTTCTTGAGGTGCTAAAATACTAGGATAGTACAAACACCCCCAAATGACCCCTTTTCGGAAAGTAGACATCCTAAGCTACCTGCTAAGAGGCATATTAAGTCCATGGAAGATTTTTATTTTTTTCCTCAAGTTTTTGGAAAATTACAATTTTTTTTTTTTTTTTACACAAAGTTGTCACTTAAATGATAAATTGCTCACACAAGCCATGGATATATGTGGAAAATATGCCCCAAAATACATTCTGCTACTTCTACCAAGTATGGGGATACCACATGTGTGAGACTTTTTGGGAGCCTAGCCACATACAGGAGCCTGAAATCCAATGACCACTTTGAAAGCCTGAAGGTGTGTAACTTCCTCATTTCACTTGTTCACTACTTATCACAGTTTTGGAGGCCCTAAAATGCCAGGATACCACCAAACCCCCCAAATGACCTCTTTTTGGTAAGTAGCCACCCCAAGGAATTTAAAAAGAGTCATGGTGAGTATTTTTCAGATCTAATTTTTCCTCACAAGGTTTTGAAATATAAAAAAAGAAAAGAAAATTTTGTTTTGTCTATTTTCTTCATTTTCTAAAAACATGTGGCAACAAATGAGATCTGCAAAATACTCACCAAGCTTCTTATCAAATTCCTTCTTGTGTCTACTTTCCAAAAAGGGGTCATTTGGGGGGGTTTGGTGTTATCCTGGCATTGCAGGGCCTCCAAAACTGTGATAGGTAGTCAGGAAGTATAATGAGGAAATAAAGACCTTTAAAAGCCTGAAGGTGCTTATTGGATTTTGGGGTCCTGTACTTGGCTTAGACTGCCAAAACGTCTCTCACATGGGGTATCCCCATACTCGGGAGAAATAGCAGAATGTATTTTGGGGAGTAATTCCACATATACCCATGGCATGTGTGAGCAATAAATCAATTAATTGACAATTTTGTGTAAAAAAAAAAATATTTTTTTTTCTGTCATTGTCCAAAAACTTGTGGTAAACAAATAAATTCTTATATTGATTGAACATGCCTCTCAGTAAATAGTTTGGGGTGTCTACTTTCCAAAAAGGGGTCATTATGGGGGGTGGGGGCATTTTATGCCCAGCATTAGAAGTTTATGCCACACATCACTCACTCTTCTAACCACCTGAAGACCAAGCCTTTTCTGACACAATTTGTATCAGTATTTTTTGCTAGGAAATTACTTTGAACCCCCAAACATTATATTTTTTTAAAGCAGACACCCTATTGAATAAAATGATGGGTGCTGCAATTTTTTATGTCACATAGTACTCATGTAGCAATTTTCCAAACACAAAATTTTCTGAAACAAATACACTTTTTTAACTTTTAATGCAAAAAACACAATATATTTGTATTTAAATTTGGTAAAAATATAAAAGATGATGGCATGCCGAGTAAATAGATACCAAGCATGACATGCTTTAACCTCCCTGGCGGTATTCCCGAGTGTAGCTCGGGGTAGAGTTTTAGTACCAAAAGCAGTAACCCCGAGCTACACTCGGGCTTACCATGCGGCGCTGCATAGGGAGTCCCTGCAGCACTTACCTTGTCTTTCGCTCCCACGATGTGTCCCCTGAAGCGTCCCCGGCCATCTCCTCCGGCTGATGCCGGCATCCGGCTTCTGTGTTCCGGGCCCCGTGACGTCGGGACGTACGGGCGGCGGCGGCGGGAAATTTGAAAATTTTAAAAAAATGTCATTTTTTTCAAAACACATTTTTCACAGTAAAACATTGCTGTTTCAACCCATTTCACATACATATTGTCCCTAGTGCTTTGTCCTGTGCCCTGCCTACATTTGTCTGTCTTTCTGCCTGGAAACTTAGAAAAATCCATGGCGTCCAAAAAATGTCCCTTTAGGTCAAAAGCGGTTTTAGACCAGCTAGAGAACAGCGATAGTAAATCAGAACCACTTGCAGAATTGAGTGATAATGATTCGTGGGGGAAATTCGTCATCAGACACTGAAAACGATTTTGCGACTTTGCTCAGCAATGTACGAACTTGGCGCTCTATTTCAAATTTCAGTGTTTTCGGTTTGATTATATTATTGAATTAAATGTATTATTATTATATTATTATTATTTTTTATGATTATTTATTAAATTATAATTTATGATTTCGTGTTTTCAAATTTTATCATACCCGGGATGTTTAATAGACTCTTGTTCGGACAGATTTCAGTGAGTTATTCCTAAAAATTACAGCCTACAATAAAAAAACTACATATTTCCATGCAAAATAATGGTACCGCTTTCAGCACCAAAAATCTGAAATAATCATACCGCCAGGGAGGTTAAAACTGCACATGCCCCATGCAATGACGACAAACTGTATACATTTTTTTTTTACATCAACGGAGTGCTTTATTGACCAAACAAAACAATACAACATTGGTACAAAAACAACATGATGCAATGCAAAACACAATCCACAGCAGAATGAAATAGAGAAAAACAATAAATAGACAACGTTCATCCATATATTGTAATACTGAAAAGGAAATAAATTAGAATAGGGGGGCACATGCGCGGCCAGGGACGATGGCGGCCGCACCTTAAGTGAGCTCCGCTCATCCCCGGCCAGTACAGAATCACCCGACAGCCGCTTCCACTCCTCTTCAGCTGCGGATGAGTCATCTGTACTTCGCACCCGACCCGGCACCTGAGAGGAGGCTTGATGGGGAAGATAGGGCGCTGGAGGCCCCCCTACCCGCAATCACGTGACCCGCGGCCCTCGCTGCTCCGGAGGTTTCTCTCCAGGCCGCAATCCCCGGTCTCCAGTATGGCCGGGAGCCCAGGGAGGGATCGCAGCCCCCGGTGGTAGCGGAGGGTACTGCACCCACAGACACTCCAGCCTCTGCCCTGCCTCAATCCCTGCTGGAGGACTATGAGCCCCAGCATGCTACTGGGGGGGATGTGGAGCACTCTGCCTCAGGGAAGCATCCTCCCTCCACCCAGACATCTCAACAGGCCACCCAGTTACCTTCCCTCACATTGTCAGTGTTGGATGACAAGCTACAAAATTTTTTGCGCAACATTACCGCGTCCATATCCGCTGAGGTTGGAAAGCTGGCCTTGGATCTCAGAGGGGAAATTGCCCAGATTGGAGACCGCACAGACAGATTGGAAAATGAGTTTGAGGAACTGGTACAATACGTCCACGTGCTGGAAGAGGATAACGCTTATCTGAAGCACTCCATGTCCCAAATGCAGCTCCAGCAAGAGGATCTGGAAAACAGGGAACGGCGCCAAAATATCCATATCCACGGTATGTCCGAGTCTATTGCAGATGCACAGTTGCACCATCATCTTCTGTCCTTCTTTACCGCGACTGCCCCCTTGGTTCCAGAAGCAGATTGGCGTATGGATAGGGCTCACCGCTCCTTGGGCCCAAAACCTGCTGAAGGCACCAGACCTCGCAACATTATTGTTCGCTTTCATTTTTTCCAAAGCAAAGAAGCTCTACTTTCTGCTGTTCGCCACAAATCATCTCTGGAATTTCAGGGGGACAAACTCCAACTCTTGTGCGACCTGTCCCTGATTACACTGGCTAAGCGACGAGACCTGAAACCGATCACCACACACCTTCAACAACACCGTGTCCATTACCACTGGGGGTTTCCCTTTCGGCTGGTCGTAACTAGGGACAACACCCAAGTTGTGCTCCGTGATCTTCATGAGGCAGACTCCTTCTTAAAATGCCTGGGACTTCCACCTCTGTCAGAAGATGTGTCCCCACTGCCACCAACTCCGTCTCGTCCATCCGCCACCCCCAACAAGATCTGGACCTCAGTTCGCAGAGGTCGGAAGAGACTTTCCCGTACCCCACAACGTCCGCGTCTTCCTCGGTCAACTGATCCACCTGCTTGACGATTCTCTGGGGCGCCTTCTAAATCCGGTGATGAACCTTCCCTCCTGGGTTTTTGGTTCTTTTTGTCTCTACATAATTTTCCCACAGGTTTACCTTATCTGTCCGGCCAAACTGTCTGGTGTTTTTTTCATTTTTGATTGTTTTTTTCTTTTCTGGCCAGGCTTGACGACCTTTCCGATGTCCTGGTTGTCGTGCTGCTCCCGACTTTGTCTAGCCATAGGCCTAGACGACTTGGGTCACATTGTTGCCCCCGAGTTTATATCCTTGCGGATACTTACTAGTGTTAGTTCTCTGTTTTTTGTTTTTTATACTATTACCTTGCACTATACTGTGTTATTCAACTGTTTTTATGTTTTTTGTTTTTCATTATATTACATCGATGGTATTCCATTCATTTTTCATGCTATTACATGTAAGTCAGTTGTCGTTGTTTCATAATGGCGTTGAGGTTTCTGTCATATAATGTCAAGGGCCTCAACTCCATTCAAAAACGGTGGATTGCTTTGAAGGAATTCCGATCCTCAGGAGCAGACATTATTTTTGTCCAAGAAACCCATTTCAAATCGACTGGCTCCTTTCGTTTTGCCTCAAGATTTTTTTCCCAAGCCTACTCGGCCTTTAATCCTTCTCAGCCTTTAATCCTTCTGGGAAGGCCGGGGTGGCAATCCTTATTGGGTCACACTGCTCCCTTCGGGTTGTTTCCTCCAAGGTTGACCATCAGGGTCGTTTTATTATTTTAGAGTGTTCTGTTGAATTTATATGCTCCCAATACAGGTCAACTGCAATTCCTATCCCAAACGCTCGCTGATCTAGACTCTATTACTACCTCACAGGTGATTGTAGGGGGAGATTTTAATCTGATTGTTTCCCCCCATAAAGACAGGAAAGTGCTTTTTGAGTCCACCCCCTCGAAGCGGCAATGCTCCTCTTCAAAATCTTTTCGTAAATTGATTAGGGAGCATCGTCTCTTTGACGCTTGGCAGATTAAACACCCTCTTCATAAACAATTTACATTTTACTCCAACCTTCACTGTAGTTATTCCCGCCTAGATCATTTTTTCATCTCTGCCTCTTTGCTCCCACTTCTGGTTTCCTCTGAAATCAATCCCATCACTTGGTCTGACCATGCCTCTTTGACCTTAAATCTTTTTTTTTTCCCCCTGCTATGCCCAAACCGTGTCAGTGGCGCCTTAATGAGACATTTCTTTCCACAGATCATCTTAGGGATGAATTGTCACGGGGACTCGATTCATACTTTACTCTTAATGTCGGTTCTGTAACTTCTTCCTCATCTCTGTGGGAGGCCCACAAGGCGGTTTTTCGTGGACTCTGTATTTCCATGGGTTCTCATTTAAAAAAGTCCTCGGTGAGTGCTAGGGCCTCTCTCATACAACAGCTCTCGTTGGCGGAACGTCGGTTACTGAATAAGCCATCTATTTCAGGGCTTCAGAGGGTAACATTTCTACGTGACCGAATTAAAGCTCTTGACTCCAGTAAGACTGCACAATCCCTCCTTTGGGTTAAACAGAAATTTTATGAATTTTCTAACAAGCCTCACCGTATGTTAGTCAACCGTCTCAAAGCCCAGTCCCCTTCTACGATGCCCGACCTTATAATACAGCCAGATGGAAGCCCTACTTATGATCCTCGGGCCATGGCAACCCTTTTTGGCTCATTCTATGGGAAATTGTATAACTGTTTGACCCCGGACCTTCACCCTTCTCTCACACAACCATCGTTTGACAATTTTTTTGACCCCTTGCCACTTCCGAGAGTATCATCCTCAGACATTGACGCTCTTAATGCGGACATTACGCTAGAGGAATTATTGGATACAATTAAACACCTCCCTTCTCGTAAAGCCCCCGGGACTGCCTTACTCCTACTATAAATCTTTTATTGGTATTCTGGCCCCTCATCTCCTCTCCCTTTACCGAGATCTTTTTAAGGGAATCATACCCTGACTCCTACCCTTGCTGTGTTATTGAGCTTGGATGCCCAAAAAGCCTTTGACCGTTTAAGCTGGCCTTACATGTTCATGGTTTTGAAGAGATTTGGTTTTAGGGGTTCATTTGTAGCAGCTTTGAAGGCCCTTTATTCATCCCCTTTCTCACAGGTCAGATTAGCTTCCTTTCTCTCACCCCCCTTTCAGATGTCAAATGGCACTCGTCAGGGCTGTCCACTCTCTCCCCTGCTGTTCATTCTCTGCCTGGAGCCATTGGCTATTGCCATCAGGTCGAATCCGGATATCCGGGGATACAATCCCATTCTCATGAGTACAAATTATCGTTATTTGCAGATGACATCCTCCTCACACTTACGAGTCCCCACACCTCTTTACCGATTTTGTACAAAACTTTGAAACAATTTGGGGCTTTATCAGGCTATAAGGTCAACACGTCCAAAACTGAGGCACTTCCAATACATGTTTCTCCTGTTGTTCTTTCCTCCCCTCAGGCAGCCTTTCCCTACCGGTGGTGCACCCACTCTTTAAAATATTTAGGCACCAACCTTACTTCCTCTTACCAATCCATATACGAGGCCAATTTTCCCCCACTGTTTATAGCAATTTCTCGCTCCCTGAAACACTGGGATGCCTTGCCTATCTCTTTCCTCGGTCGTATTAATGTCTTAAAAATGACCATGCTACCCAAACTTTTATATCTGTTTGCAACCCTCCCCATACCCGTTTCTATGTCCAAGCTTCACTCCCTTCAGAAATCTTTCTTACATTTTATTTGGCACAACAGGTGGCACAGGATTGCTCGTTTTGTTCTGCTTTCCCCACGTTCTAGGGGAGGCTTGGGAGCACCGGATATAATAACATACTATTTTGCAACCCACCTTCGCTTTCTCATGTCATGGTCCATTCACTACCCTCCCAATACATGGACTGAGATCGAGTCTTTACAATTGTCCCCAGTTCATCCGTGTTCCCTTCTCTGGTCGACCTCGGCGGTGGATGTCCTTTCTTTTCGCCACTTATTCCTAGGCCCCATGCTTTTTTCATTGACTGTTTGGCAGAAATGTAAGGCTAAATTCACATTGGCCTCTCAATGCTCCCCACTGAAAAATATCCTTTATAACCCTAATCTTCCAGACAATATGGCCATGTCCCGCATGTCTCTCTGGGTAGTATCTAACCTTTTTCAACTACGTCACTTGGTACACCCGGTGACTCGTAAGTTACATTCATTCTCGGATCTCCAGAGGAAAGCCTCTCTACCCTCTCTCGTCATCTATATATATACCTTCAAATACGCCACTTTTTCTCTACTCTATCACCCTCATTGAGCTTGGGGAAACTTACCCCCTTCGAACGTCTATGTATGGAAGGTCCCCACCAAAGGGGTATTGTCTCTAGCACCTATAAACTTCTTATGGAGGCCCCCCTTTGTCTAATGACGCCCACCTTTATATGCGTAGGTGGTCT